CATCATAAGGCATCAATTTAATATCCACAATAATTAAAAACCAGAACCATCATATCGCAGAAAGTTCACAGTTAGAATAGTTTTTAGGCTTACATAAAATTAACTTTTCCTTGTTTATTTATCTATCGCTCGTTTTACTCGCTCGGCTCGCGCTAGGATTAGATGACAACAGTAAGCTATTCTTGCCCACTGACCACAAATACCAATTATGTTTAGCTAAATAATACTTAATAAAATTCTGCCATTTTAAAAGTATGCTATTGTAAATTGTGTGTTATGAATTTCGGAGGAACAAGATTCTGTCAGATAGAGGGAACATTTGAACTTAGTTTACTTTTTGTTTCTAAAGTAGTAAAAAAAACTTAGTTATACATTCACATACATACAAGGAAGCCTGCGCAGTGACAATTTTACACCCAAAAACGTCTACTTGGTTTTGCTCAAGAAGTTTGCTGGGATTCGGCCAAAATCGTACTACCACTACGTACCTATCTCCATTGAAATTACTGCAGAGTTCAATTATTAGCTTGCCTAATAGCGAAATCGATAGATATCTCAGAGTCGCTCGTTGCTTGCACCAACGCAGTCGTATTAAGCCTAAGGGCCGCCCTTTGGCCGAGTAGCTAGGTCAGGCCACTGTCACCCACTCGCATTCAAATTAATTTAGATCTTATCTCGCTTGCCTACTGTGGATTAGGCATTATGAATTGTCCGGCGTCAACTCGACGCGGGCTCGTTATGATATTGTTACTGGAATATAATGACATTGTTAGCACTCGGAGCCAACTGGAAAGTGCTCGGAATTAACTGCAGTCACGCGATTATGCTTGTGTCTTTTCTGATTAAGTTGTATGCTAATTTTGTTTGGATAATAAATTTGTTTTATAATATAAAGCGTAACACACAGCTACACTAATGCCTTTAATAGTCAACATCAACTTAAAATGTACCTAAACTTTTTGCTAAAAATCTCGCATTGGGAATACAAAATAAACCAAGTCCACACAGTGTCATAAATTGTACCTACGCATTTTAATATTTGTTACAAAATGTATTGAATTAGCTTTATCGATAACTTTCTGTGGGGTAAGTAGTAATTTTCTCATAACAATATTATATAATTCTGTGCCTAAGCTTGACACCTATATGGTTGTAAAGAAAATACAATTTACTTATATAGAGAATACGATCCGTTCTAACGTTGATCGTGGAGGCAAATCGTTCGGCCAACATTATTCCATTACCTAACCATAATAAATTGATGTACCCCTCTCGTTTACACGATGCCAACTGCGATACTTCAGAAATAGCCTGCCCCGCCAACCCGCCAGTGGAATTAGCGAGTGGAGTTTTCGCCTGTAAAATATTGTAGGGAGTAAGTTGCCATCGATCAAGGCTGTGCTTGTTAAACACCGTTCCAGGCTGGTAAAATGGCGCGGGCGTTGCCGTCCGATAGCGGCCGATCGCCTGGACTCAGCTCAGGTACAATAAATCACCCCCTTACAATATTTATTCGTTGGTCGCTACTACGGTGTCGCGATTGGATGAAGAAAACTCGCAGAAGATTTTAATTTATGAAAAAGGTCTCAATTGTTCTACGATATTTTAACTGTCAAGAAAAGATTACTAAAAAAAGCCACGCGGACCAGGCACCAGACCAGCACCCTTCGCTATCCGGGAAAATGCACTGACCAATATGCTACCGCGGCCCTAACAGCCGTGTCGAATTTTTCCTAGCCTTAGGCTGGAAGGCAACGCCATCTCTTTGCATTGTAGGTAACCCACAATGTCAAATGATTACTTTTACAAGTATTAAACATTCGTATTTGATATTTTACTTATTGTTGGATTCAATTTGATGTTGAGAACGTCATTCGTTGTAATGTCAAATTTCATTATGTAGTTACTCAACTGGACAGAAGTGGAAAGCTTCTCGATTAAAATATAACAAAAACCTAGAACCCGACTGTCGATGACTAGAACGATGTACTGAGACTTATAAGGTGCATATATGTATGTATCATGTATTTTTATGTTTCTTCCGTCAGTAACACTAATACTTAATGTTTGTATATAATCAAACCAACAAACCAAATCGAATATAAAATCGTTGGACATTACGGAATGAAAAATCTATTTTAATGGCCACAGTAAGCCTGTTAATTCCAAGCGCTCTCTACGGCTACTATTAATTAGGTATTAACTTACCATACCAAAAGTAAGTAGTAGGTGATTAAGTTTTTCTAATTCTCTAGAAAACTCGAACTCTTCAGAAACCACGATGTAAGTGAAACTTTTAAAGTAAACTTTAACATCGCCTAAATTGTTTTTATAATTCCATTTCCCAAAAATACAAATGTATTAAAAGCGATAATGCAGGGCAGGTACCTATACTTAATAAGTTGATGTTACTCTGGTCTAGCTTAACAAAAACTGGAAAATAATAAAATTCCTACATTGGCTGGAATCGAACCTAAGCCGCCGAGGCAGGCGAGCTTTCTATCACTGAACTACCGATGCTTGTTGATAAGGTCTGTTTTTTTAAGAATTAAAGATCTAAAGCGGCATGCTAAAGATGAACGAAAAAGTTTGTGGCGATATGAAATAAAAATTGCAAACTACAGTGAATCAATAGTAGGGGCAATGTTTACGCTCTCGCACGTCGAACGAGCAGTCATCTAATATTGATATCTCAATAGGGAAGTTAGTGACCGACCTAAGTTATGGCAGCAATTTTTCAAAGTCTCCCACTCATTTTAACATTATCGGGACTTAATAGTCCAGCTTAGAGCCAATTAGTCGGGCTGTGCTTTGAGATTGCCGATATTTGGCCGCAACGGGTGTGGTTGCTATTAAATCGCTATCATAGCCGTTTATATGAGTTCAGTTTGCATAATGTTATTGCGAAAACTTATACTATTCATTGTTAATCTTAACTGTGAATGTGATTACAGCTATAAATAACATATTATCATCATAGATAATTCCATTTAATAAATAATTAAGTAAAACTGTTTAAGTTTCGATTACTATTAGGTACCTACATATTTTTATATATATTTTTTTATTTTGACGAGTCCTCTTACTTACTTTAATTTAGATTTGTTCAGATTATAAATAATAATAAATTATTTAATAATAAATATACAAAAATATAAATTCTAAATTTAATTTATTAGTTTTTTTAATTCTGTTTCAATTTTGTAGTCTATTAGGGAATTTACTATACTTACTGAATCGATTTAATGACTCAATATTCATGCGATACTAATTTGAAATTAATCAAATTGAAAAATCATAGAAATTCGACAAGATGACTAACTGATGGTTATCGCAAGATCATAGACTTCTTTCTCTTTGCCAAAATTATTTATTAATGCCGAATATGAAAATAGGTTTTTGACTTATTCGATATAAAATTGCCTAACTTTATTTTTTTCTAAAGGCTGATAATTTACACTTAGCTTAGTACAGTAGCGAGTTCACTTACGGTCTGGATAAGTTAAGTTCTTATAATTGTTTGGACAGGGATTTCCCTCGGGCCTTCATACTACATAACTGCCCAACTTTTAAACTCGTTGGTGTACCTACTTACTTACCGAAGTTTAAATCAGCCTTAACGAAAATTACTGGCGAACTTTAGTAGAGAAACTTGTCAACAGTTAAACAAGTGCTTTGCTGCGTAAAACAAATCCTTCTTTGCCGATATTACAGCTAATCACTCGACTCGGGCCGAGAATCTGAAAAATGTTCGCATCGCGTACAGAAATTCCTTGTAAAACGAACAAAATTATGGGGTAATTCGTAATGATGTACGTTACGAGTATCATTAAATCCGTAATCATAATTGTGTAAAAGTAGTTTTACGATATATACTCGTATATCCAGGATACGTTTATATCTCAATTGTTCCAGATTATCGACTGGTTTTCTAACATTATGCACCATTATTATAATAGAAAGTGTAGTGGCGTAATTTCGCTATAGCAGCTATTAAATAAAGTTATTAAGCAAATAATCGTTAAACAATTTGTTACAGTCTGAATCGAGCAGTTTAATAACCGTTGGGTATTAGTGAAATTACTGGGATAAGTTATCGTATCACTCAATCATGGTGGAGGAAATTCATATTTAAGGACTGTTTAACTATAATGTGTTTTTATAGCTATTTAAAATCTTCAATTAGTCATTAAAAGTATAGTACATAAAGTAAAAGTAAAGTAAGTTACTACAAACAAAAATATTATAGAAGGAGTTGAATATATTATGATTTGATGCATGTAAGTGTTTGCAATTTAAATTTTATAAATAAATATATTTTAATGGATTATTATGTAAAAAAATTATAAGTTTTCTGCATTCCTCCTCTATATAATCTTTAATTTTCCAAAAAGTCACACTGCTTCGTAACCATATTGTGCTTCCGTTTTTTTTGTGAGTGTGTATGCTGTTGGTCGAAGAAGACCTTTACAGCGTCACCGGGTTTGGGGACGGCGAGATCCTAAGGGGACCTCAAGCAGAGAATTGGCGGGTGCCTCTAGAGTTATTCCAGGTTGATGGCATCTCCCCACGGGGGGAGTCCCCTTCGTCTGGAGCCTCTAGACCACTTGAACCTGAGGGGGTCGGCTCAACTAGAGGGCGTCTCTGAGACTCGGATCTTGGCTCTAGTTAGCCGTTGTAGGGGGAGGGGGGGGGGGGGGGGAGAAACGCCCAGGTACGTCCCTGTACTGTATCTGGTATAGCGTGTCGTGTGTAGACCGAGTCTTCGCACTCTTATCCTGCGGGTGCGGTGTCTGCCTAATGCTAAGCTAGCGTGCAAGTATGCTGTGTAGTGTTGGTGTTTGTGGCCTGTGTGGGAGGACTCGGAGGCGCGTTGGCGCGGGTGATTACGTCGTCGGGATACTTCAAGACGTGTCTAGGCCAACGGAATTGGAGGGTGTGCTTCCGAAAGTTTATTCTTTATTTATTAATATCATAATACGGCAAAATTGTAAACGCACCTTAGCACCTGGTTAGTGCACACGATGACGGGCCGCTGCGAGTTCTCCAGGTTATCCTTCAGTTGCAGCACAGCGTGCACCCAGAGGAACTGGCCGCACCTGGTCTGCAGCCTCAGTAGGGCGATGCACGACCTCTCTTGCTCTGACTGCGTTACTGCGGAAGATATTTTTATTTCTGAGTGGTTAAATTTTCAAAACAACTGTTAAATGTTATTGCAAGTTTCTTAATTAACTTATAATATATTGAATTTCATCGCATAATTAATTAGATACCCTAATAGTAGGGGAGCCCAAGCGGGGATTTTGGGATTTACTCGAGCGCTGCAAATTAAAGATTACCTTGCATCTTGTGAAGAACTCTCACCATACATTAAACTTTTTATAGCGTAGAACGTCTAGGGCAGCCGATCAAATTAGTAACAAAAAATCGATCGTTGGAGAAACTTGAGTGCGTTAAGATTAAAGTAAGATAAGTTAATTAAATGCAGAAAAGTGGGCATTTCAATAATCTAAAATTTTCAGCGTGACCTTAAGAAATGGGAGAGGCAGAAAGTCTATTTATATGAAATTTTTGAAAGCCTGTACAAGCCCCCCCCCCAGCAGTCAAAAGGTGTATATTATAATAAACTTTTTTCTTTTTAGCATCTAACACAACTCCAATTCACAATATGTAATATATGGTATCGATGACAAGAAGACACCTATATTTGTTGTGGAAAATTTGACCCCAGAGAACAGGCATTTGCACGCTGCAGCACGCCTGCGCGCTAAACAATTGGATTATAAATATGTGTGGGTACGCGCCGGGCGTGTTTACATGCGAAAAACAGACGACTCAGAGCCTATTTTTATTCGTAATATTGATGTCATAAATAATCTTAAGTAATATTATGTGATATAAACGTATATTGTTTTTTATTTTTTTTTCTATGTTAAATTTTAACCTGCATTAATACTTTTAATTTGTCAAATTCTCAGATAAAATAAATATTTATTTCCAAAATGTAAGGGGACTGAGGACTAAAACTGCAGACTTTTATATTAACGGATTAACTTGTGATTATGACATTATTGTGTTATGCGAGACGTGGTTAGCGGGTGATATTTTGGATTCGGAGCTGTTTTCTGACCGATATTCTGTTTACAGGCGCGACCGTTGCAGTAGTGGTTTTCACAATAGCAAATCCGGTGGTGGAGTACTTATAGCAGTGTCTAAACGCCTAAAATCTGTGCGATGTATTCAATACGAAAGTAAATGTGAGGACGTTTGGGTTTGTATAGATACCTGTATCAACAACAAGGTCGAAAAACTATACATATGCAGTATTTATATTCCACCGCCTGCACAGATACATATATATGAACATTTTCTAGATAATGCAAATAAAGTTCTTATGAATGCAGGGAATATTTTGTTGATTGGCGATTTCAACTTGGGTGGCATCAGGTGGTTATGTTCCCCGGGGCCGTCGTACAGGGCTTCGGCTGGCGGGGGCAGTGTATGTGAGAATTTACTCATAGATTTTATTTCTTTAAATAGCTTAGAACAATATAATTATGTACTAAATAGTAAAAACAGAATTCTTGACTTAGTTCTATCGAACATATTAGTTAGTGACTTGCGGATGTGTACTTTTCCCTTATCAAAAGTTGATATTCACCACCCACCTTTTGAATTCAATATATCGGGCCATGTAACTGACAACCTGAGCTATAACCAAGAGCCTAAGTTTAAATACCATAAAGCTGACTACGGTAAAATAATAAAAGAACTTAAGACAATAAATTGGCATGAAAAATTCGCTTCTTGTCTTTGTGTTGATAGCATGGTGGGGGTATTTTACAGTACTGTTAATCAACTCATATCAAAATATGTGCCCATGTCTAAGCCGCATTCGAACAATTACCCTGCTTGGTTCAATAAAGACCTCATCCGCTTATTGCGTGAAAAAAACAAATACCGTAAGCGTTATATTCAGTTCAAAAACCCATTAGATGATATTTCCTTTCACATTCTCAAAACTAGATGTAACAAACTTGCACAAAGTAGCTATAACTCTTACATAGAATCAATCGAAACCTCCTTAACCTCTAATCCCAAACTGTTTTGGTCTTTTTTAAAGCAGAAGCGTAAGGGTTGCAGTTCATATCCATCTGCTATGACTTATAAAGATAAAATTGCACATACGGGGCCCGAGATCTGTAATGCCTTCGCCTCATGTTTCTCATCTGTTTATGACTGCGATTTTAATAGTGCGAATATGAACGCTACATGCTCACTTGTTTATGTCGCCTCTGGATCTCAGACCTTACATGACGTCACCATAACCACAGACATGGTCGATAAAGCACTGAAGGCACTTGACCCCCGTAAGGGTGCAGGTCCTGATGGACTCCCGTCTTCTTTTGTTGCCTCTTGCCATGAAGTCCTTGCCGAACCTCTTTCCCTGATTTATAACAAATCGCTTAGAACAGGTATCTTTCCCTCCATATGGAAAGAAGCCTTAATTGTACCTGTATATAAATCTGGAGACAAGACTTCAGTAAATAACTACCGTCCTATCTCATTGTTATCAATTTTCGGAAAGGTCTTTGAGGTGCTGGTACACCCGTTCTTGGCCTGGCATTTTAAGAATATTTTACTACCACAACAGCATGGCTTTATTAGGTCGCGTTCTACAGTAACAAATCTGGCGGGTTTCGTGTCTGATTTGGTGGCAGCTGTGGACCATGGTACGCCTGTTGACGTCATCTACACGGATTTCAGCCGAGCGTTCGACAAGGTTGACCACAAAACTCTCGTCTCTAAGTTATTCCGCTACGGTATCTTCGGTAACCTTCTCAACTGGTGTGAATCATACCTGACTCAACGATCCTCCAGAGTAGTATTGAATGGTTTCATATCTTCGTCATTTTTGATAGCCTCTGGAGTCCCACAAGGATCACACTTGGGACCTTTATTCTTTAACGCGTTCATTAATGACGTCGCTTCCTGCTTTCTGAATTCTAAAATACACTTATATGCAGATGACCTAAAAATCGTCAAGTTAATTAATAATGTTAATGATCCTATACTCCTTCAGGAAGATCTCAACCGTTTCTCTTCCTGGTGCAAAGTAAATTCCATGAAACTCAACGTTTCAAAATGTAGCTTTATACACTTCTCTCGTCGAAAATCTCCTTACTTTAATACCTATAAAATAAATAATGATATTATCGGAGAAGTGGACGTTATTCGTGATTTGGGTGTATTCATGGATCAAAAACTTCGTTTTCATATACATATAGACAAAATTACTAAAAAGAGCTTTAAGCTTTTAGGATTTGTATTACGACATTGCAAGGAATTTAGACAAGCCTCAAGCAAAATAGCAGTTTTCAACACCTTGGTTAGATCTGGCTTAGAATACTGCAGTGTGATTTGGACACCGTATTACGAGGTTCATAAACAACGTATTGAATCCGTATTAAAAAGGTTCTTGGGGCACTTAACTTATAAACACTACTTGTCCAAACAACTACCCACATACAGATCGCGTTTGATTCACTTTAAGCTTAACGGTCTCGAAAATCGACGTAAAATGCATGATCACATTTTCTTTTTCAAATTACTAAACGGTCACTTAGATTGCTCACACTTGTTAGCGCAGATTAACTTTAATATCCCATATAAATCTGCTCGACCTTCACGTTATGCACCTTTCCGAGCAGGGGCTTCCAGAACTAACCTTGGTCATTTTTGTACCATTAATAGACTTCAGTCACAATATAACACACTATTACGTACGCTGGCCGCTTCTTCTAAACACAGTGATATAGACATGTCTTCTTCTCTTCGCAAATTTAAGTCTGCTCTTTTAGACTCCTTTGTACCCACATAGATCAATCATATTATTGTTAAGCATACCGCCACGACGGCGTCGATTTTGGCAGCGTTCTCTAGGCCTAGACTTGGATTAGGTGGCAGTGTATCCTTGTCATTCTCAATACAGAGTGCAAGTGAGGGACTGGTGTTGGATCTGTTTTTGGGTCTGGAGAATGATGTCAGAATGGATATTAATATGTATCTAATATTTACTTTTATAGTTTTGAAGTGTTTGTACTAGATTCTTTCATTTTTGTTTCGTAAGTCTACTTCGTAAGCAAATTTTTTACGCATGCAGTGGCAGCCTTTAAGTAAGGCAGCACTAAGAATTGTTTTCTTTATTGCTTTCTCAGTTGTATTTTTATTTGGTGTTTGTTTTGTTGGCTGTCCTTAATTAATAAATAAATAAAAAAATAAATAAAATAAACAATCAAACACCACAAATTTCTATTTAGCATTGTGGGCTCCTCAACTATAATCAAATTATCTGAATTAGGTTGACGGGTTAAGTGTATTCAAAAGTTTAGTTTCATTACGCTTTCGATCTACCTATACTAAAGTTTATTTGTTTAAGTAGGAAATCACCTTGGAACTCATTTTAAAAGGTCTTGTCTTTTTTGTTCTTTCTCTTTCTTTCAAATGTTATGTCAATCCCCAATAAAAAGCGAACATGATAGGCACGACGATTGCGAATGTTTTAATTATTGTTATTGTAAAGGGTACATTTTAGAAAATCGCACATAACAATTTAATAAAGCAAAAAACTCGTTATTAGTTCAATTATCTGGTGTGAAACAGTTATTGAACCACAGTAAGCAGATTATCGAGAAAAAAAACAGTAATTATGTCAACATACTATTCGCGTTTAGATTTGGACTCCATTGTAACGTCTTAAAGTTAAAATTCGTTTGGGAAAGGAGAATGAGAGTTTTGACAATCGTGTTTTGATAGCAATTTACAAGAACCAAGAATGGACTGCCAATGGCGTGTGCCTCTCCTTATATGGAAGTCGCTCGGTACTTTTGTACATCATAAATGGTAAGTTTGTTTACTGATTGCTTGAACGATAAGCTTTGGTCAGGTGTGATTTTAATTATCGCTGTTTGCTTACGTAATTTTCATCGGTTGGAAGATTTATCATTCGTATTTATCGATTCTGTTCTCACGCTCGATAAGGAATAAGTTGTTATGCAAAATAACTATTTATGTGTGAATAGTTGCAAAAATTCATTGCGATTGTTAAATAACATACCAACAAAGTACTGGTCATGGTTTGTTGTTTTAATTTC